CACACACAGACATAGACACACACACACACACACACACAGACACAAGTTGTTTCCTCCGTATAGACCTGAAGTAGCAGTGGTGTTGCATTCACTGACAGTCAGTAAATAAAATGTCACCTTGTCTACGAGGTGTTGGCATGACGACAGCAGCTGTTGCCTCTGATTGGTCAGGAGGGCTTGGTGGGCGTGGTCAGTTTCAGTCTCGTTTCCCAGCACGCTCTGCACATCTAGAGTTGATTCAAGTTGCAGCTTTCTGGTCTCTGATCTGGATCCAGGCTTTGCATCTGATCTGGATCCTGACTCGAAGTTTCTGATCTCCTTTGATCTGGATCCAGGGGCCGCATCTGTGGTTGGCTCTGATCTAGATTTAGGCTTTACATCTAATCCAGATCCTGGCTGCTCATTTGATCTCGATCCAGGCTGAAGGTCTGATCTGGACCCGGGCTTTACATCTAAAAGTTCTAGTTCTGATCTGGAATCTGGCGTTAGGTTTAATTTGAATCCAGACTGCAGGTTTCTGGTCTCATCTTCTCTAGATCCAGGCTTCACATCTAAAGGTTTTAGATCTGACCTGGATCCAGGCTGAAAGTCTCTGGTCTCTTCTGATTTTGAATCTGACTTGAGGTCTGATCTGGACTCAGGCTTCAGGTTTAATTTGAATCCAGCCTGCAGGTTTCTGGTCTCCTCTGCTCTGGATCCATGGGCCATGTCTCTGGTTGGCTCTGATCTAGATTCAGGCTTTACATCTAATCCAGATCCTGGCGTCTGGTCTAATCTGGATCCAGGCTGCAGGTCTCTGATCTCTTTTGAACTGGAATCTGGCGTTAGGTTTGATTTGAATCCAGATTGCAGGTTTCTGGTCTCCTCTAATCTGGATCCAGCCTTAAACTCTAATCTGAAACCAGGTTGCAGATCTGTAGTCTCCTCTGATCTGGACCCGGGTTTTAAATCTGACCTGGATCCAGGCTGGAGGTCTCTGGTCTCTTTTATTCTAGAATCTGACTTCAGGTCTGCACTCTCTGATGTGGATCCAGAACTCAGGTCTCTTGTCTCATCTAGTCTAGATCCAGGCTTTAGCTCTAATCTAGATCCAGGCTGCAGATGTCTAGTCTCCTCTGATCTGGATCCATCGGCCATGTCTCTGGTTTGCTCTGATCTAGTTTCAGGCTTTACATCTAATCCAGATCCAGTTGGCTGTTCTGATCTGGACTCAGGCTTCAGGTTTAATTTGAACCTAGACTGTAGGTTTCTGGTCTCCTCTGGTCTAGATCCAGGCTTTACATCTGACCTGGATCTAGACTGCATGTCTCTGGTCTCTTTTTTTCTGGATTCTGGCTTCATGTCCATCTCCGCTGATGTGGATCCAGACTGCAGGATTCTGGTCTTATCTACTCTAGATCCAGGATTCACATCTGAAGGTTTTAGATCTGAACCTGATCTAGGCTGCAGATCTCTAGTCTGCTCTGATCTGGACCCAGGATTCACATCTGAAGGTTCTAGGTCTGATCTAGAACCAGGCTCTGTGTCACTGGTTTGCTCTGGTCTAGCTTCGGGTTTTACATCTGATCTGGATCCAGGCAGCAGATCTCTAGTCTTCTCTGATCTGGACTCAGGCTTCACGTTAAATTTGAATCGAGACTGCAGGTTTCTGGTCTCTTCTAATCTGGATCCAATGACCAGCTCTCTGCTTGGCTCTGATCTAGATTCAGGCTTTACATTTAATCCAGATCCAGGCATGTGGTCTAATCTGGATCCAGGCTGAAGGTTTCTGATCTCTTCTGATTTAGAATCTGACTCAAGGTCTAATCTGGATTCAGGCTTCAGGTTTAACTTTAATCCGGATGGCAAGTTTCTGGTCTCCACTGGTTTAGATGTAGGCTTTACATCTGACCTGGATCCAGGCTGCAGGTCTCTGGTCTCTTTTGTTCTGAAATCTGGCTTCATGTCTGTCTCTGCTGATGTGGACCCAGACTGCAGGTTTCTGGTCTTGTCTACTCTAGATCCAGGCTTCACATCTGAATGTTTTAGATTTGACCCTGATCCAGGCTGAAGATCTCTGGTCCCCTCTGATTTAGAATCTGACTTGAGGTCTGATCTGGACTCAGGGTTCAGGTTTAATTTGAATCCAGACTGCAGGTTTCTGGTCTCTTCTGCTCTAGCTCGAGGCTTAAACTCTAATCCGAAACCAGGCTGCAAATCTGATTTGGATCCAGATTGCAGATCTTTAGTCTCCTCCTCCGACCCGGTCTTCACATCTGAAGGTTCTAGGTCTGATCTTGCAGTCTCAAGTGACAAGATCCCGACTGCGTTTGTCCACATCAGCAGGAGAGACAGACCAACCAGATTCCAGAACAGAAGAGGACAGAAACCTTCAGCATGATCCAGTCAGATGTTTAAGTCTGATTAGACAGACGAGACCAGAAAACCTTCAGTCTGCCGATTCAATTTAAAGCTGCTGATCC